AGAACAAAACATTCAAATCACATTTCCCTAACACAGACAAAATCTCACAGGATTCTGGTCCATTATGCCTCCCTTTGTGCTTATAGCACCAGAACATATCAGATATACAGAATTATTTAGATCAGATTTCATTTCATATCCCAGACCCATAAATAATCTCAAAGGATTCTGACCCTTATGCCTCTCTTTTTCCCTGACACAAACATAATCTCGAAGGATTTTTGTCCCTTATAACTCTCAGCAGATATAATTTAATCACAGAAACACATATATCGTCATAATATAACAAATACGTACATAACATTTGAACATGTATCAAAATCCACTATACAGTATAACGATAGACAACAAAAATTCAGCGAGACAAAAATGTACAGTTTCAGAAAATTACCAAATTACCAGTCGTGTAAAACAACGTTTTAAGACTTTTATTGTACTACAATAACATTTTTCAACATCCAATAAATTTTCTACTCGATGGAAACCTCACAGATTTCAGAATACCCAATAAAATATTTTCAGAAAATACTCAAAACGTGCAGAATCAAAATCTTTACGACATAAAAAAAGTTATACAGTAAAAGTTTTATCATTGCAAAGATATACTCATTTTTTGCTAACGGAAAAAAAAATTTAAATCAGAATATTTGCCAAAAACCTCACATTTGAAAATTTAGATGGGCAAAGTGTTCCTTGGCTCATACAAAAAGACTTTCCCAACAACGACGACGAATAAAAACGGACCAAAGTCGCCCAAAATTTGGATTTCCTCTTTCTTCCTTTCTCTTCTCTCTCTCTAGCCGTTTCTCCCTCTTCAAAATGAGAAAATATCCTATTTAAAAACAAAGATATTTGTGATCGTATGGGATGATTTTTAATATCGTCCCGGGACGATAGGCTCTGATCTTGTTTTCAAACTCAGATCGTCCATATGATAATTAATTTCGTCCTGGAACGATCGACTCGGTTCTAAACCCGTTCAGTTCGTCCCGACAATTCATACAGACAATCAGTTCAAATTTTCTTTTCTTGAAAATTTAAGGGGTTTCATAGGTGTACCGCCTTCAAGACCCAGATTGTGATACTGCATTTCAAAACTTTTTGTTGTGTAAAATTTGTTTTTGCAATCAGAGTAACTAAGTTATTTTCAACCAACTTAATAAAAGACTGCAACCATTCCAAACAGATCATAAACTAGTAATTTCAAGTAAATTAGTTTAAAAAAACAACATTGTAATAGCTGAAGCAAGAAACTACATTCTTAATAGCCACATAAAGCTTAAGCAAGTTATTTAACAGATGAATCAAGGCTAGAAAAAGAAAGAAGTGTCTTAGAATGCTTCAGCAAACTAAAATATCGAAGCACTGTGATGGATGGACATGAAGAGTAGTGTATATGATGAATAATGCTGGAAAAACAACAAGAAATACATTTTGCTGAAAAATAAGAAGATGAAAATCATTTACAAGCTCATATATAAAAGCAAAATGATGTTCGACTTCTTTCCTTCTTCTTGTATATATCTTTATCATCTTTCAGTAGTCTGACTGATTGTATTTTAAGCTTCATTTGAGATTATTTTTTTATTGCTTCGTAAAATTATTATAGAGAAAGTGTCTTGCATCTCTATTCATGTTGTTTCTAAGAGTAAAGTCACTCATCGACCTGAGCATTCTCATCAAGTAATTCATTATTGAATAAAAAGTGCAGAGGACTAAAGCTGGGCCAGCAAAGTCATAAAATTCACCATTGGAGATGAGCTACTCCAAGTAAGGTGGTTCTAATTCATTAGCTAGTTAAGGAGAAGGCAAAATATTAGGCTCTGATGAAGAGCTACAGTCTTGTTGTACCATTATTATTTGACCATTATAGAAAGGACAAAAGCTCCTAACTTTTTCAGGACCACATTTTAAAGAAGAGTAATGTGTTAGTTTTAAATTATAATGTTGTTCTCTCATATCTCATATAATAATAGTAATAATGTGTTTGTTGACAAACAAAAAAAAAAGATTATTATGTTTGGTATTAATATGGGTTGGTTGGTCAAACAAAATTACTTATGAAAGTACATTCGAACGCATCTATATCTCATAATTGATTTGTGAATAAAATGTATTGTTAAGTAACTTTGTAGAATTTGAATCAAAAACAAAAAGATCACAAAGAATATAAATCACTTTATTTCAAATTTTTTATAGATAATATTAGATAATATCACACAATAGAACTAGCTTATGATATAATGGAAATGTAGTTTATGTAGATGTATCATCACCATCATGTGGAGTTTTGTATGGAATTTAAATGTGTTGATCGATCGAGTTGTACTATTGCCTCAGACCTCAGTGCTTGTTGAACTTGTTGGGGGGTTGCAGGGGTTCTTCATAAAGTTGTGGTGATGTGGACCCCCACCTGCATGGTATGCTTGGAGAAAGACAAAGTGCAAAGCATTACGGTGCTCCAAACCTCTGCGTTGCATCTTTGTCATGGGGCGTTGCGACACTCCAATATCCCTGCGTTGCGGCACTGTCAAGCAGACTGGAGAAAGAGAGTTGAGCATTGCAATGTTGCGAGATGGACTAGCAGTTTTCTTTCTCGTTTTTTCATTAAGGGTTGCGTCCCTTTATGGTTTTGTAAGTTTCTATGTATGTTCTAGTGTGAGAATGGTACAAGTGTGAAGAGAAGCAAGAAGAGAGTTAGAGAAATGTGGGATATCTACAATTTCTCCTAAATTTTCATAGTGAATTTTCTAATGTGATATGGCTCCATGACTTCTTCCCAATTTCGGGGGTTTACATGTTAAATCCTAATGCTCTTTATTTTTGCTATATTTTGTCTTTCTCATTTGTATTAATTGTATGTTTTACTTCCCCAACATAGCAAACATTTTCTGTAGTACTGATGCCCAATAAATGAAACTACATTAATCGAATTTCTTCAATTATGAACTTATTCTTTTTTTTTAATAAGCACATATATTAATAAAGAAAAAGAAAGATACATAAAAAAAGGCAAGGGAAAAACTACCACTTTCTAAAGACAAAATGGGAAGGAATGCAACCTAACAAGCATCCTAAATCAAGCAGCAGACAAAGGACAAACAAAATGAAAGAAAAGAAAACCGCTCAAGTGAGGAGGACCCCTTCATTGGTTTGTATTGCGCAACAAAACCCAATACAAACAAATGAAAAGAGGTCACTCATAAAGCACTTGAGGGGACCAAGTCCCTTCCTGTAGAATCTGTAGAAGTCTTCTTCCTCTTCCTAGGGGAGGTGGCTAAAGCACTTAAAGGCCCAAGTCGGAGGAGCTCTCTGTCTAAGCAAGATTTGGACACTCATGGTTGTTGTTTGCGAAAGTTCACGATCCTATTAGAAGTTTCTTCCATTTGCTGTAATTTTTCGGCCGAGAATTGATTCTCAATTTTGAACTGAGTCTTGCTACCAAGCCCAAACAGTTAGACTGATTCTCAATTTTTTGTATGACCAACAAGCTCCTCCATTTTAGCTTTGCCTGACCACACACACATCAAGGAAAATTAAGAGATGACTATCAAAATGTTTTACAACAGAACAATAGCTGAAAGCGGAAAATGGAATCTTCCACTCTAAATTTGTTCTAAGATTTCTAAATATCATACCTTAATTCCATGAGAAATGATCAATCTGTGCAATATCATTATCTTCTACTGAGAAATTGAACAGAGCAATGGTGTTTCCATCACAGTGCAAACCACAACTGAACAGAATGTATCAGTCGCATCATCAATGCGCTGAGAGAGCACAGAAACAGGCTTGTGCGGTCGCTATCAAGTGGCCATGGCGAAGAGCTCTGTACCCCGACAGCCAGGTCTTGTGGCTACAATAACACTGGCCCACGAAAGATGGACGCTTGATCTTGACTGGATGGACATGATAAGATAGATCACAAAGACAAAAAGGTTTGAGTGGGAAAAAGAGAAGAAGACACTTAGTTCATCCTTTTCTACCATAGCATGCAGCAGAATATATATAGTATGATGGAAACCACTAGCTAGCTATTAAGTACAAAAGCCGAGGATCCCTCCCCTGGCTCAAGCTTTCCTTTCTCAGTGGGAATAATAATGGTTTTGACTTTTGTCCAACACCACCATGCAAGTGCAGTCTGGAGGTGGAAAGAGTGCATGGCCATGCACTAACAAATCATAGATTCTTCAGAGTTGAGAGGGAAAACCCAAAATACGCAGGCATCAAATCCAGTAAATCTAGGGGTGTAAATGAGGAGAAATTATTACATGCAGAGTTCGGACAGGGAGAATTGGCCGAATTTACTGAGTATTTACAAATATCAAGCAAATGTACGTATTTGCTGAGTATTTACTGAGTATACTCACGGATTTTGTGAGTATTTGTTAATTTATTAAATATTTGCAGAGTATTTGTTGAGTATTCAGCAAATACTAAACAAATCCGAACGACTCTCCCGTTCGAACTCCGTAAGTAATAATGAGAGGTAAATGAGTGAATTTTGATATTTTTTGACTTGGCTCATTAAGCAAATGAATAATTTTTTTTTACTCATTAATTTATCTATTTAAGAACATTAGATCTACTTAAAAAATCATCTATAAATTATAAAACATTCATGTTGGCACGCATATTTATTTGCATATATTCATGCCTATATATACACACATGCATATAATACATATTTTTATTTATATATAAATATAAATAAGTTATTATTTAGCCACATACACTAAACAAGATCTTATTGGTATTTTGCTTGTTAAATATACAAGCTTATAAATTTAGACAAATTTGAGCTAATTATCAAAATATAGAAAATAGAAGACTTACTAATGTCTAGTATGTAGAAAATATAGAACCAGCTCACTTTGAACTCAAACTGCCTAATAACTTCATTCGCTATTAGTCAAGCTCTCAGCAGCACTCCAAAAACAAACGAGAAATTTTTTTAGGAACTTTTGAGTCAATTAAGATAAACTCATACACATATCATATACGCAAGCTTCAAATCTAAATTTTTTTATTAGTAGTCAAAGCTCTTGACCAATAGACCAAGACGAGTTCATCAACCAGGCTCTAAATTGGCTCTGTTCAAGCCCTCTATTTGTAAGAAAAACTTCCATTACAAATGATTTCTCAAAACTTTCTCATTAAATTTTCATAAGATCAAAAAACAAGCAAAGAAAATTCATGTTTCTTCTAGATTGGTTTTTCTTTAGCCATCCTTCTCAATCACCTTTCTTTTCATCAATTTTCATGAAACCCAACAAGGCCACAACATGTACTGGTACTCCTTTTCCTTTCCACCAAGCTTTGGAAGTCTATGGCTCCAGCTCTCGACAATAAAATAGTGGATAGTTGTCAACATCCAAAGAAAAGATTGGCGTACTTTGTGACTTTGGTTATAGCCATGCGGCAATTTAAAGTTCAAAGTTCAACCCTTAGCTAGCAGAAACTGCAAGATTATGAGAGAATAGCATTCATCTTAATTTCAGAATTTCAGGTACGTAAACAACAAAATACAGAGCAGTTTTTTTAATATGGAAAATATTCAAGAATTTACAACCATGAGGCCTGATCCGGCTAATGAACTTGCACCATAATTAAAAGGTTGATTATAGAATGTCAGCACCTAAAATTTATGATTTTCAGCACAAGAATATCTTGGATTTATAATGATAACTATCGTAGGTTCAATGATGGTTGCAGCAACAGACTTCCAAACAACTACAAGTAAAAAAAAGTTGAGTAAAAAATTTTTGTCACCCTCCAAAAAATCAGAATGTGGTCAGCATAACAAAGTCCTAGATTTAATATAATAATTACATTAGGTTCAACGGTGGTGGCAGCAACCAACTCACAAACAACTGTGCCAGTGGGCAAATGAAGAAGTTTTCCGCCTGCAGTAGAGTTGAAGGTGATTACAAGTGTGTGGGCTCCAAAAATTCGTGCCCACACCTCCCCTTTTTTCAGAGGAGTTTTAACAGATTAAGTTCCAGAATAAACTTTCAGAAGGCAAATTGTGTTTGTAGATAAGACACTCCCCAGAGATTTCGCCCTCATTTTGCGAGGACTTCATGATATGAGTTCTGGTTTCCTATCGGTGCAAGCCCCTATAGTTAATTACCCCTCTTGATAACAAGATAGAACTTTCGATTAAGGCTAGTCGTCAAACAAATACATAGAGATCCACAATATTTGTATATAGTAGTAGCATGAGTTTGATTTTTAAAAATTTAATATTTAAAATCAGAAATTGGCCACCTAGCACTTAAAGTAGATGGTGGGGGGAGTGATGATGAGCCTGATTAAGATCCCATGGTTCCACCGTCCCGAGCCATCATGGTCCGTGGTCTACTTAGTCAGAGGAGGTAGTCGACCAAACCTAACAGAAGGATTCTTGTCGGCAGTCATGGGCTGCTTCGTCTAAGGGTACCTTGTAGACATAAGGTGGATGTTTGTCTAAGGGAACAAATTTGAATCCACCTTAGCTAACAAAAAGTTTTATGCCCTATCGATCATATCCTATTGATTCATATATCAAGGATTTAGAGCCAATGGGGCGCGTGCGGGCTCTGGCCATGACTATAATTTAGTGGTGCCATTTGGCGACAAACAACATGATTCAGAGGGCCCTGATCGTAACCGTTTACCTGCGGTGCCATTTGGTGGCAAAACCATCAGTTAGGTGACACATGCCACGTCCTAATTGGCAAGAGATTATTTGAGCATGAATCATAGTGATATTCTCAACTAAACATTAGCTCTTTTGTGAGCTAAAGTGATATTTGAATTTATCCATCTCGACAAACTGTCGCAAAGAATTGATGGGTTTTACTTTAAGTGTTTGATGGTTGAATTTCAATTTTAAGTATTTGTATTTGATTTTTTCTTGGAGTTTTGAATTTTGGGTTGTTTGGAAAAATATTTAAAATTAACCCCTTCAGTTGATATATGCCTTCAAACGGCCATCATTAGGGTATTCATGGGCTATTTCATTTTATGGGTTTGAACTTTGTCTACTATGTCTACCCGTCTACAGAGGATAGGGTTTATTGTCGATTGTATGCTTTTATTACTGAATTTTCATAATTATAAGTCTTGGAGGTCTAATATGAACGTATTAAAGCAAATATCTCAGTTAACGCTATGACTGTATACTTGTTTGATAGTTCAACCCGTGTCGTCTCCTATCTACTCGTATAGAAAGATAAGGCTCAAACTTAAATTTATCATTTGATCAACGCAGCATCCTCAAACGTCATATGTGTACACATAACATGCTTATCGGGGCCCATACAAGTATTTAGGGGAAATTTTTTAATATTGTTTGTTGAATCTTGTCGACTCTATCTAATTGCTAACACAAGATTGGGTTTATGGTCGACTGCATGCTTTTATTAGTGATTTTTCCTAATTATAGATCTTGAATGCCCAATATGAACTATAAAATAAAATATCACGGTTGATGCCACGACTGTATATTTGTTTAACTGTTCGAGTCGTGTCGACTCATATTCATTCACATAGAAGGAACGGGCTCAGATTTTAGTTCATTTCTAAACTCGCGCAGCAACCTCAAATGTCACATGTGTGTACCCATAACATGCTCGTCGGAGCCCATGCGAATATTTAAGGGGCATTTTTGTAATTATCTGTTGAACCTTGTTGACTCTGCTTAATAGCTGACAGAGGATCGATTTGTTGCCGACATTGTGCCTTTGTCAATGAATTTTCCCTAGTAATAGGCCTTGAGGCCTAATATGAATGTATATAATCACATATCTTGATTGATGTCGTGATCGTATATTTGTTCATTAGTTCAAGTCGTGCCGACTCTCGTCCTATCAAGGAGAAGGATTGGACTTGAACTTGAGTTCATTTCTTGACCCATGCAACATCCTCATATGTCACTCGTGTACCTAAAACACGCTCGTCAGGGCCCATACGGATGTATGTTATTGCATGTATATAGGTTAATTTGCTTGCATGTACACTTCTACGTTTGTGTGTATGCATATCCCAGTGCATGTGTAGGGGCATTTTTTGAATATTTGATGCTAATCAGTTACACGGGTAACTATCAATTGACTGTGCGCGACACTCTATTTGAGAGGTTGTAGACATCTTCTATCTGCTTGCATAAGTGTTGCAAATGTGGTGACGTGACGTCGTACTACGAGTTGTTAGCTGCTTTAGGCAAGTAGGCTGTCGTGCACTAACAAACCTCCTGCTATTGTCTGTAGATAGCTACATTCATTACAGTTACTCGCTCACAAATAGCTCGCTGAGTATATAATAGATCTTCTCCAATGACCTGTGGGAGCCTGCATCTGTTATCGTCTTTCCTGCAGCCTATCTTCTATCATTAGTTGCATGCAAATCAGTATGCACATTTGTGATTTAATGTTGACTTTCAACTGAGCTATATTTGTCAACAACCTCTTTACACATTGGTCAGGAAGTTGTTTATTCTTAGTGTCACCTTCATGTTGGACATGCTGTTGCATTCACTCCACTCATCGCATGTTAATGTCTTTGTGTAATCTATTGTGTGCACAACAGACTTTTGATTCTCACCTCTGAGTGAATCGTCAATGGACAACGATATTCATTGTATGCTGCATTGGCACATTTGCTTGCAAGGAGCTTTATTGCTTGTAGTCGATAGGTCGCATGTATTATGGTTCTTCTATCGATGTATGTTGGGAATTCATCACATTCATTGTACATTAATGGTGAGCGGGCTATCTCCTTCATTGCAATCCCTCATCGATATTTGCAGGGGACTCAACATATTACTCGGGTGCTGATCACTGCGGCTTGCAGAAGCTCGACGGGTTTACTTGTTATTAACTAGCACTGGCTACAGGATGTTAACGTATTCGCTCGCAAATTAATTAACACACCACTACATTCATTACATAGTCCTCATACTTCATTCATGAATACATCATCATGTTCATTACAACTATCACACTCTCTTCCACACATATGAGTGTTGTATATTAATGAATATCATTCATGGTGACGCGTTGTGTGCATCACAAATACTTAGCTCGTTCATTGGCATTCATTATTCATTGATTTTCATCAATTGATAGGTTTAATTGCATGCCAATCATATTTGAAAAATCTTCCACCACGTGTCCCCTACTTGCTCACTTATGTTCATCTGGATAATCTAAATTCATCATTTAATGATTGTATTTTTATTGTGAGGTTGCATTTGTTGATTTGATGTTCATTTATTGTTTGAATTTGAATTTTGCTCCCTTTTTATGATTAAAGTTTAGTTCTCTGTTCAAATCGTTCATTTCCCCGCTTATGATCTAACATTGAATATCTCATTCTCTTCAATTTATCTTATTGATGCTTTTATTCTCGGCTACATAATTATTTAGTTAGAAAGTATTTATCAAGCAATAAATTCACATGTAAGGTTTTCTAACTTATCCTTTTTGATATATATATATATATATATAAAGAACTCTCCATAGCACTTCTCTTGGAACTTTATCATATGCTTTTTCTAAATCAATAAATATCATATGTAGATCCTCCTTATTTTCTCTATATTTCTCCATCAAACCTCTTAATAAATGTATGGCTTCCATAGTCGACCTACCCGGCATGAATCCAAATTGATTTTGAGAAACATTAGTATCACGCCGCAACCTATGCTCCATAACTCGCACATATAGTTTTAAAGTATGGCATATTAACTTAATACCTCTATAATTCGCACAATCTTGTACATCTCCTTTATTCTTAAAAATAGGAATTAACATACTCATTCTCCACTCATCTGGCATCTTTTTAGTCTTCAAAATAGTATTAAAAAGTTTAGTAAGCCATGAAATTCCTTCATCTCCTAAGCATTTCCACACCTCTATTGGGATATCATCAGGTCCAACAGTTTTTCCACCCTTCATTTTCTTTAAAGCCTCTCTAACTTCAGTTTTACTAATACGCCGATAAAAACAGAAATCTTTATTTTCATTAAGGGTGCTGAGGTCACTATAGTCAATCTTATTTTCACAATCTTCATTAAAAAGTTTAGCAAAATATCTCATCCATCTTTGTTGAATATCATCTTCTAAGAAAAGTATTTTTTGATCTTCATCTTTAATACACTACACTTGAACTAAATCCTTACTACTCCTATCTCTTTGTTTGGCTAACTTATACATATATCTTTCTCCCTCTTTAGTATCTAATCTATTATATAAATCACTAAAAGCATTATGCCTTTGCATCGCATATTGCTTTCTTAGCATCCTTACGAGCCACTTTATATATTTCCCAATTATCAGAATTTTTAAAATTAAACCAATTTTTATAACAAAGCTTCTTATTTTTAATTTTTCTTGCACATTAGGATTCCACCACCAACTATTTTTACTATTGGGAGCTATAAAATCCTATTAAAAAATAAATTACTCATACACATAAATTGAGATGTATGCATATGGCCTAAAATATAAATTTGATGTGCAATCAATTATTTAATATACATCTAAAGATAACATATATAAAATTATAAAATACATCAATCAAAATTACACATGCACCTAATCATACATCCCCAAATCTATTGTACACCAAATCCCTAATATCACCCATTTGCTCTATATATACATAGGCCACTCCTAAAAATATATTCATCAATCAATGTGGGTAAATTACATGAATAATTCAATGGATAAATAATAACTCTAAAGAATAGTAACTTAAATGAAGAAAAAATAATATGCATGGAAATCATCATATTTGAACGGTAAAAAAGTTGTAGAATTTGGTTCTTCATTACAGTAACGTTCATAAGAAGATAGTGCATTGCAATCAATGCTATGAACAACAATTACAACGCAGCATTCAATTTAATCCCGATAACATGAACATAAACCAAAGCATATTATATCATAACTTATCATTTACAACAAATGTTTAATACATCCATCACAGCAGCACCATCTAAGCATAACCCCAACTTATCATTGGCCGATACATCCCTTGTTGGCACACCTAGGCACAACAACTGTCTATTTTATATTATGTGATGAGACACCTAATTCACACCATTGGTTGATACCTAACTGATCAGCAAAATAGGGCACAACTCCTATGCATTCAATTATTCATGGTGAAAAAGAACCTAACTAATCATTGGTTTATATATCCTTAGTTGGCTCAATAAGGCGTAGCTTATATGCCTATTATTATATATGGAGGAAAGGCTAGTCATCAATGCATATATATAGTACCATTCTCAGTCTCAGCTAGTATCATAAGGGGGTGACACAATCTTTTAATGCGACAGGTAAGCATTCTTACACATTATTTCTTTTGCATTCATTTCAACATACATTAAGTTTACCTACAAGAAAAATTGCAAAATATTATGTTTTTTTTTTAAAAGAGGGTTAGCCGAGCAAGCCAACCCTATAACATCCATAAATTATGTCGGCCATATGTCTTGATAACCATACAACGCCCATCAATTAAAAGATGTGCGTGGCATACATAGCCAACCGACCCTTTTAAATTGCAAAATATTATGTTGATTCTACATAAGCATTTTAAATATCACATAAAAATTTGCACTTTATTCATAACAATATGAGAAATCACTTACATAAAAAAGAGAAATTATGGTCAAAACCATTCACAAAGTAGCTCTTATGGAAATAAGATCTTCTCATACATATAAAGGAGTAGAAATCTTAAGAATATCAATAACTTTTATTAGGTTTAGGAGAACAAAAAAAGTACTCCAATTTCGAAATGACAATATCCACATTAAAAGATTTGATTCACCAAAACAGTCCAAAGATATTGGCATCGCTCTTCTTAACTTAGTACATTTATCCGTATAAAATCATATCTAAGATGCACATAATGATAGGCTCCATGAATTCTTTATTAACTATAAACTCCTCCGCTTTCCTCTTTACTTAAATTTGCTCATCATACTAAAATATAGAATGGGCCTACTTTAGATTTGCTAGCTTCTGCTCTTAATAATATCCGCACTACATTTATTTAATAAAATTTCAAATTTTTAGATTTCCTCATAATTATAGAATAATTACATTTTAAATATCCCTCTTCTTTACAATCAATATGAAAACCCTAAAATTTTCAAAATTAAATTGATCCTCATGCTTGTTGCGTCCCGGAATATACACGGCAGTAGAGAAATATAAATTTTAATTTCTTAGTTTTATACAAAGATCCAACACACGTACAGTTAAAAAAAAGAGGGTGCAAAATTTATAAGAGACATCAAAATTTTTATGTGTAAAACCCCTGAAAATGGGGAAAAACCACAAGGCCTAGCCCAGCTTGAATGAATATACTAGTATTTGCAGCTGATTACAAATGAGGCCTTTCATTGGGGGGAATGCCTTGGCTTGATGCAACAAATATACATAATACATAGTGTGTTACATGTTGGGAACATGAAGAATCCCTGTTGATATGTTCGTTTGGTCGGAAGGACCATAGTCGGTAGGCGACGGAGGTCAGAAAGAACATTATATGGTGACGGAGGTCGGAAGAAACATAGTCGGCGGGCGACGGAGGTTATAAAGACCGTTTTCTGGCGACGGAGGTCGGAATGACCGTAGTCGACGTGTGACGGAGGTCATAAATACCGTTGTCTGGCGACGAAGGTCAGGAGGATCATTGTTGGCGCTCGGCGGGCGACAGAGGTCGGAAGGACCGTTGTTTGGCGACGAAGGTCAGAATGACCGTTGACGGGCGGAAGTCCGATGTGTGGTAAAAATCCGGCGACAGAAAAAAGTCCAACATCGGGTAGAAATCCGGCGTCGGGTAAGAGTCCGACGAAAGTCTGACTACGGGCTGAAGTTTGACAATGGGCGGAAGTCCGGGGTCTGATAAAAATCCTGCGATAGGCGGAAGTCCAACGTCGGGTATAAGTTCAATAAAAGTCCGGTGATGGGTGGAAGTCCAACGTCGGACAGAAGTCAGGTAATGAGTAGAAGTCCGACATAAGTCTGATGACAAACAGAAGTCCGACGACGGTCGAAAGTCCAGCGTGGGGTAGAAGTCCGATGACGGGCAGGACAGAAGTTCGACGACGGGCAGAAGTACGACATCAGGTAGAAATTCGGCGTCGGGTCAGAGTCCGACGAAAGTTCGGCGATAGACAGAAGTCTGGCGATGGGCGGAAATCTGGAGTCTGGCGGAAGTCTGTCGTGTTGCGGATCTGTTTTAATGGTTTATGATTTTGATGATAGCAAACACTCTTATTTCTCTACGACGGCCTTATTTACTAAAATTTCAGGTAGAGAAGTATAAATTTTAATTTCTTAGTTTTATACAAAGATCCAACACAGGTACAGATAAAAAAAAGAGGGTGCAACATTTATAAGAGACATCAAGATTTTTACATGTAAAACCCCTGAAGAGGGGGAAAACCCACAAGGCCTAGCCCAACTTGAATGAATATACTAGTATTTGCAGCTGATTACAAATGAGGCCTTTCATTGGGGGGAATGCCTTGGCTTGATGCAACAAATATACATCATACATAGTGTGTTACATGTTGGGAACAGGAAGAATCCCTGGTGATATGTTCATTTGGTCGAAAGGACCATAGTAGGTAGGCGACGGAGGTCAGAAAGAACATTATATGGTGACGAATGTCGGAAGAACCATAGTCGGCAGGCGAAGAAGGTTATAAAGACTGTTGTCTGACGACGAAGGCCGGAATGACCGTAGTCGGCGTGTGACGGAGGTCATAAAGACCGTTGTCTGGTGACGGAGGTCAGAAGGATCGTTGTTGGCGGTCGGTGGGCGACGGAGGTCGGAATGACCGTTGTTTGACGGCGGAGGTCAGAAGGACCATTGACGGGCGGAAGTCCGATGTGTGGTAAAAATTCGGCGACGGGAAAAAGTCCAACATCGAGTAGAAATCCGACGTCGGGTAGGAGTCCGACGACGGGTTGAAGTTTGACGATGGGCGGAAGTCCGGGGTCTGATAAAAATCCTGCGATAGGCACAAGTCCAACGTCGGGTATAAGTTCAATAAAAGTCCGGTAATGGGTGGAAGTCCAACATCGGACAGAAGTCAGGCAACGAGTAGAAGTCCGACAGAAGTCTGATGACAAACAGAAGTCCGACGACGGTCGAAAGTCCGGCGTGGGGTAGAAGTCTGACGACGGGCAGAAGTTCGACGACGGGCAGAAGTCCAACATCGGGTAGAAATCCGGCGTCGGGTCGGAGTCCGACGAAAGTTTGGCGATAGACCTGGCGATGGGCGGAAGTCCGGGGTCTGGCGTAAGTCTGGCGTCGAGTAGAAGTTCAACAACGTGTAGAAGTCCGATAGAAGTCCTGTGAGGGGCGGAAGTCCTGCGTCAGGCGGAAGTCCGGCAACTGGCAGAAGTCCAGCATTAGTCGGTGGGCAGGAGGTGGTTGAGGAGGAATCTTGTGGCAAGAGAACTCTTCCTTCTCTTTCTTCTCTTCCTTCTCTTCTTGCTTGGGCCTCCTTATTCCTCCCCCTTGGGGGTCCCTTTCAATGAGAAATGATGGGTCTATTTATAATTTTTCGAGAATGGCATGACCAGTAAATAGGGGGAAGAAAAAAGATAAATTGGGAGTAGTTTGAATGGACGGCTGATGTTGAATCCCTTTATCTTGGCGCGTTTATTGGGCATGGGTATTTGAATGTCTTAATGATAACATAATTCGGCGATCATGGGCTCGTTGGATTCGACACGTCGAGTCGATCAATTCGACTACAAGCATGTCAAGTTTGGAAACCATTTGGTAAACCAACTTATGGTTTGACCCTTCCAATATGCTTCGAGTCTTCGATTTGTACCCACTTGGGCTCGGATGGAGTCGAATTTGGTGTCGTTGGGTTCGTATTTTTGAGACGTTCAGTTCGACTGTAAGTTTGCTAAAATCGGAGTTCATACGATCCAGGATTAAATTTTTGAAGTTCAAAACTTGATTTTTGCCTCGAGATTCGTGCCCAATCAAGATACTTTTTTGATGATATATCAACGCTAATATTAAACTTTCCTCATTCTTTCCATCATTAAAATTTTCCATCTCCATCCCAATGCAGATGACCTACATATAGGATTTCTAGCAAAATTCATGAATAAAAGGGAAAGAAGAAATTAGGTTAGGGTTTACCTTGCTTCAAAATCAAGATGAAGAACTGAAAAGTAAAAGAGAGCATTTAGATTCTTCCTTTCCCTTCAAGAAACGGCCTTGAACTGCACCTGCTACAACCGTTGTGTTCGGCATCGCTCATGGGCTGCACATGCTTAGTCCTCCGTCCATGCGCATACGGCCGGCCGCTCCCGCACTCACTCACAGAATCGGTGGTGCTCGCCTTTTAAAGGCGCTTTTTCAAAGATACAAAGGAAAGCGTTTCTTACTAAAATGTAAAATACAGCACAACAAAAGAGAACTCAATATGATATGGCATCTCACAAAGCTGATATTTTAGGTTGAAGATGGCTTCAAAAATCAAATTTTGGATTAATATTTAAGCTTTTTTGGGACGGCTTTTTTTCTGCTTCTTAAAATAGCTTTTTAATTTTTTACTAAAAAATAATTTTAAAAAGTTGTAAGAAAGCTATCCTAAAAAAAGCTAGTATAAATCAAGTTTGGATAACAATTTAGTTTTGAGCCAATTTGTTTACTTGATTTAAATTTGATTGTAGTTAAATTGGCTCATATAGGCTTGAAATCAAATCAAAGATTGATAGTTCTATAGAAAATTTTCTTTATCAACATGAATCTCGAGTAGATTTGAAAATTTTCAGAATTAAATTCAAGAACATATGAACATCAATTTCAATGAATTTAAAATGGAATTTAACATCTCGGTGAAAGAAACACATCAACACTACAAATGATATGATATGTGTCTAAATAAATCCAATTCAAACACTTTAATTATAGTTGGAAATCTCTAAACGTTAATTGAATAATAAGTGATCTCTAAATATTTCATGCATGTAGTCAAATCGTGTGACTTAATGAAACAAATCTAACAAGCCCAATATTAATCCATTATGATATCATTACATGACTATCATGCATACCCAGTATGTTTTAGATGCACTTCTTTGTCAAATCTCCTGCTACTTTAAAAAGATCGAGCTTATACACGCTTCTACTTACTCTCCAATAATAATATCCACAATTTCAACCACCTTAATCGATATTTGTTGAAAATTTTATTGTCACTCGAAGAATCATCAAATATTCCTCTCATCTTTTAACGATCGGCCAAAATAAATTAGAATAATAAAAACAACACATTCAAATGTTTTCTTCTAAAACTTGTCAAATTTCAAGAGTTGACCATGATTTTTTCTACATCATCTTTCTTTGAGGTTTTCACCCATGACTATTATACTCATTGATGTGAGAGGCAGTTTGTTTCTACAATGATTTTATTCATTGACTAAAATTATATATAAAAGTCGATAAAGTTATCAATGCACATCAAAAATAATTTGAGTAATCATCGAGCAAGTGAAAGAATGCTCAAGAATGTATTTCTTAAAAATCTTAATGAATAAAATATGAGCAATAAAAAAAATCAAATCTTTCGTCCCTATGTAGCCCGACATGAAAACATAAGCTACGACGACAATAGAAGGAATATAAATAGTTGAAGGAACATATGCTACTAAATACATCTCGAGTTAATATTTTAATGGTAATACAATATGATTACAATGTTAAGTGGCATAATCCCTTAAAACTAAATTTAAGAAATCAAAAGAAATGTTTTCATTTTCATTGTATGCCAACAATTGAAAGAGAAAATTGAGAGGTTAATTCAACAGGATTATCTTCGCCCGTTTACTCAAATCCATCAACTCATATGATAAAATAAAGGCAAAATCAATAAAAATGGTGTATGTCATCAAAAAAATGGTTGAAGAAATTGAGATTATTGTTAGAGAGCCCTATAATTGAGGAAATCTCCTTACTATCCATGAGCTAATGATAAAGAAATCTTGTATTGGTCTTTCTATAACTTTTAATGATTCTGATTTGGAAGGGCTTTAAATTTCACATCAAGATCCACTTATTATCAACACCGAGATTGGAAATTACATGTTATAATCTTACAAGAATCATAAATAATAATAAATGCTCTATTGATACATTGGTCTGCTCTATATTCCTTAACTTGGGTCTAGAAATAGTGAAACTCTAACCAGCGTATGGACCATTATATGAATTTGATAATCGACCACTAAAAGTAGAGGAAACAATCACCCTTCCTATCACTTTCATAGCATTTTCTCAATAAACTTCTCATTTGATTCAATTTATTATAGTAAAGCTAGAAACAACCTATAATGTTATCTTTGAAAGACTATTTATCTAATCTTTGGCAATATCGCTTATGTGCCACATACTTGACCCATATTTAACGACAAGTTTCCAACTCACACCAAGGTTGACAAATAATGAGAAAATAACAAGTAGCACAAACATGTTATCTCACGTAAGCTCATCCATGACTATTAGCGATCTCGAGTGATGAGAACTTTGATTTTTTTAATAAATATATACTACATAGGGTTTCTCCTATAGAGAAATTAGTTCACATTCCACTGTCAAATGAGCATCCTACACATACAATATAAGCAAGCTTTATTCATTATGAGGAGATATTGAAGTATATAGAATTTTTATGACAAAATAATGTCATTTTTACTTAAAGCGTCTATGATTAATCCTGAAATAATCACATACTCTCCAAACAGAACCAATATTCAAACCTATTGTTCAAAAGAACAAGAAATTGATGAACTTTTGGATGCTAGATTCATTTGTGAAGTTTATTATCTGACCTTATTGATGGAAGTAATTATGGTCCAAAAGGCTTGGAGGATGTATATAAATTATGCTAATTTTATAAAAAAAAAAACTTGACCGAAAGATAGTTTTCCGCTTTCTCAAGTAGACCAATTGGTAGATGCTACTTTTATATATCAAATACTTAGCTTCACGGATTCCCATTCAAATTACTATGAGAAAAAAATTAATGTTCAATAAAGAAACAACTTCATTCCATAATAGTAAAGACTTATGCTGCAATTAGGTCATGTTGATTGAATTAAAAAATATTGGTGTTACTTACTAACACCTTCAAAGAATTCACTAGTCATACTATAGAAGTTTATATTGATGATATGTTGGCCAAAAATTTTTAGAGCTCCCACCATGCTTTTATAATTAGCTCTTGTCACACATTCTTCGCCTCTTCGTAGTTCTCGTGGGATTCACAAGTTTTGTGTAGGGACAGACAAAGATGGCAAGGTCTTGTTGAGGCCTCTCCAATAAGTTTCCATGATTTCTCGTTGCTTTGTTGCATGATTTCAAGTATTTGGGTCAAAGCATAAGTGGAGAAGGCGAAAAAAAGGGAGATAGAGCTAGGTTATAAAGAAGCTACAAACTAGATGATCAAGAGATTTTGGTTTAAAGATTTTTTTTAATAATGTAAAATCAGAAGTTTTTCGCGGCTGTACCGAGTTTTTTGCCTAAAACTCGGTACAGACGCTTTTTTGCCTAAAACCGAACCTTCCTCTACTTACGTTCCTGGATAGAATAAAAGTTCCTCCTTGCGACAACAAGATTAACACTTATATATGAGTGATAACAACGAGATTACATGGTATAGAACTTTGATGATTTTTTTATTTAAATAAAAAGTTCTCGTTGCTTGTACGTGTCAAAACTTTATCTTGTGTGTGTGTGTTTTTTTTCTCATGTGATGACTTGGAAATATGAGTGTCATTTTCAAATAATTTTGATCATGCGGACACTTAAACATAGCCTGTTTTATCACATGGTAATATTTTCATTGCATCAGTTATTCACTTTTGGTGCAATTTTGGATCAAATTATTGTAGGAACCTTCATAATTTAATTGATACTCTAAACCCATTGCCACGTTTCATTTTACAAAATGAGCTATGATTGAGTTAAATTATGTGGGCAGAATGCTTCAAGTAAAATAAGGTTGATAATGTGCCAATTGGACTTGTTTTCATCACAAAGGTCAACAACTCCTTATGAAATAAAAGGTTAACATAACTGCGTAATCATTTTGTAATTTCCCATTGACTAAAAAGAAAGTAAATACAAAACTATTTACTCCTGTGAAATCATTATGGGGACTTATCCCAAACAACTTATAAATAGGGGTGTCAATTTTTGACACTATTTGAAACCCGACCCGAATCTGACCTAAAAAAATTCGGGTTAGGGTCAACCCAGATCCAAAACTGGTAGGGTTCGGGTTTAACAAATCAACCCATTTAAAAAACCGGGTCGGTTCGGGTTGACACATCAACCCGAAATTGACACGAAAACTCATATTTGACCCGAAAATCAGAGATTGACCCTTTTTTAACCGGAAAATCGAAGATTGATTCGCTTTTTGACCCGAAAACTAGCAATTTTGGGTCAATAACGGGTCATTCGTGTCGGGTCGGGTTGACCCGGACCCGAATCGGGTCTGATTCGGGTCCAAAAACCTGACACGTTTTTTAAAAACGGGTCGAGTTTGGGTTGACCCAAATAGTGCCTGGTCAGTTCCGGGTTCGACCCGAACCCAAACCGTTGACCCGAATTGACACCCCTACTTACAAATACTTCTTATAAAATGAAACCAATTTTAGTACATAGCTCCGCACTTCTCATGAACATCAAGGATAATTACTTCTAAAGGGCAAATTTGTATGCACATTTGTAAGTTGTAACTATCTATAAACTTTAAAATTAAATTTATCCCATAACAAGTTGATAAAAGTTTTTAATTTTATCTTTTACCTAATTTAGTGCATGAAGCAAGCAAAATTTTTAATGCTCAAATCAACTATGATAGTATACCTATGTCTATGACTTAGAGATGATTAATCTCATGAATGACATTATTTGTAATGAAAAGGAAGCATTTGATCTATATTAATGTTATGGCCATCAATATGGATTTGGTGTTTGTAAGTTTCATGTTTATTAACAGCCACATTATAAAAAAATAATCAAATGATTTTTTCTTATGCTTAAATGCCAGTCATTGAAGTTAAAGTATCATAGGCCAAACATTAGAGCATGATGTCTGGCAATGATGAAATTCAATGTGGATGAGAATGATGATTGAAAAAGTTCAAATTTTATTTTCATTCCCAATTAATGTTAGTGGGTGTCGATAAATGAATGACATGATAGCCTGACTTAAAAAAATATTAAGTTATGGCTTGACTTGATTACTATTCAATTTAGGTTCGAATTGAGTTTTTAAATTGGATTATTTTTTAGGTTGGATTTGAATTTTCTTAAATTATATAAAATTAACTCAAAATTGATCTATCTAATTATTATGTAGGTTATGATTTTGAAAAGTTATATTATTAGGTTAAACATGTTATATTTTACTTAATTGGGTCTTGTTGATCCAAAAAATTATATAAACCATATAATAAATATGTTAGATGGATCAAGTTTGAGTTAGGCAGGTTCGGGCCAAAAACTTTAACCAGTATAATAAACGATTTTAATTTGAGTAAAGCAGGTTTAAGATGGGTCAAGTTTGGGTCAAACTCAAACCCAACCCATTAACCTAAAGTGACACTCCTATATTTTTTTATCAGAGTAAAAAAAAAAAAAGTAATAGACACCATGAAGCATGATGAGGTGGTGTTAGAATACTCCTTAAATGAAACACATTGATCTTCTTGAACATCAAACTACATGCTTAGTAAAAAAATGAAAGAACTCCATCATATATGCTTTTGAAGCCACAAGTCCTACATTTAAATGCAATATCTAAAATATAAATTTTAATGATAAACAAAAGTAAAAAAAGTAATAAAAATTTTGATGACATGCCATAAAAAAAACTCTTCTAATCAAGCATGAATCTCTAGGTAATATTTAAAATGAAGACTTGTTGAATTAAGTTAAAAACAATCCAAACTCTGATTTTTTTTAAAAAAAATTATAGTAAAATTGAACATCTCAATAAGATAAATCAAATGAAATTAAAAGTGATGTGATCCAAGTTCAAATGTGCCTAGATAATATGCTTAATATATAATTCAAAACTTTAAGATACTAATTGAAGAAATAAATGATATCCGATCTTGCATGCTTATAGTTCGATCAAGTGTCTAGATGAGATGAATCCAACGAGCCTAATGATTTTTGCTTAAATATTATGGTGTCTCTATGCATTATATATTCGTACAAAGCTAAGACACAATTTTTTTTAATGTATACCACTATGAATATTTTAGTTCACAACAATGCTATATATATCTATATAACAAGAGTACCTATATTTGTCTGCTCTAAATCTATCCATGGATGATACCTGACCCTACTAACAGGTCAATCCTAAGGAAATGGAGGTTCTATTGTGAAAGAATGGAAAGAATTGCAAGAAGAATCCACTATGGAGGATCTATCGTGAAAGTGCTGAAGATGCGATAAGATCTCACAATTGTCAAAATGATACCAAATACTCACTTATACCCTTTATTTCTAGGGGCCTGATTGCTATAGGAAAGACTACATATAAAATAATAATAATAATAAGTACAATATTTAGATGACTCTTACTACAAACTATCCTAAACACATTTTGCATTTTGGCCAGTTAAAAGGAGAATGACACTGTATAGCGTTAGTGGTTTGCCTCTGAGGAAGTTCAATAGTGTCAAGTAGGTGCAGGAAAGTGTGCATGGACAAATCCATTGGTTGATGCCTTTGACTAATAGGACACATATACCCTTATTACTTCAACGCTATTCCTCCAAATACCTCGACTCCGCGTTCTAGAACATTACGCATTTCAACGTTTTCTCTCGCTAAATTAGGTCATTCTCGCACCAACTCTTAGCTGTCCATACTCTAATCCCCTCTTGAGTTATTCCTCTAAATCCTACCTTATTGCCACATCGCACAAATTCTCCATTTGAAGGCTTACAACTTCAAATACCCTTAAATCGAGCATCATAAAGGTATAGAGTTTATGCTAGCTCCTTCAGTGATCGACAAGAGTTTATGCTAGCTCGCTCTTTTTAATTAAATCTTAAAAATTATCATTTATATCATTATTATTACCAAAAATATTTTTTAAAAAAGTAATATCATATATTATATTTTCTTAAAGAAAATATTAAAGTATGATATTATTATTTTTAAAAAAAATTAAGAGTGCTTTGATATTTTAAAGGCATAAAATATTTTATAAAAGTAGATACAATTGTAATTTAGAAATGTTAATTTGTTATTATACACATTAAAAAAATTGACATTTACACAATTTTTTTTAATTCAAGATATATAACGATATCAAAGTAATTTGTTTGCATACATCTGCAGCACAACAGTTCGGCAGTTCTATTTTTCAAATAAAAAATAATGATTTATATATATGAACGTTAGAAAGCAACTTTTTAATATAATTTTTCAAATAATTTCATAACTTGCTCACATCATAAAACAACTTTTTAATATAATTTTTTAATTAAAAATATAAAAAGAATATTTTACAAAATAAAACAAAATTTAATTCTGCTCAAAACCTCCTACCAACCGACATTGCAAGAATGTGAAACGACTAGAATCTTGAAAGCCTAAAATCTAAATCGACCGAAGCCTGCCGGGTTAAATAAAACCTAACCAAAACTATCGACTCTCTCGCGTTGAATTTTCGCGCGAAATAAAAATAAGTGTCTCCGCAGTCCGCACGTAATTTGCCACGCTTTTCAGGCCATAAATTCCGTTTTTTTGATTTCTTGGGCAACGGTGGCGTCTTCGTAGCTTCTAATCGGAAGTTTAAGAGAAGAAAAAAAAGCACTAGGCTTGTCCTCGGGCTGTGCAACCAGTTCGTGCTCTCGTTGCAGTTCTTGTTTCTTTGAATCAGCAGCTGTCTAAAGCTAGCCCGGGGATCTCCCACTCGCTTCCCCTCTCGCGATGACGTCGAGGATATCTGATCCGGAGCAACCCCAGATCTCGTTCTTCTCCAGGTTATCCAAGCAACATGTGAGTAGTTTTCACTCTCTCTCTCTCTCACCCTGTGGCTCGGAATAGATTCTGTGTTTTTTTTTTTAATGTTGATTGGTATATTGGTACGAGCTTTGCTAATCAATTTGGCCACACTAATTCTGCGCTTTCATGGTCAGCACACAGAGATTGACAAAGATGACACAAGAGAGCCTCTTATCGACGGGGATAGCTCAAATCAGAGCTTCTCACTCAGTGCAGCGATTCTCCCGTGAGTATATGCATTACTTAACTGATGTAATCTTGCACATTTTAATAGGTCTATAGAACTTTCAGACTGGTTGTTAAATCTTAATCCTTTTATAAGTATTCCTAAATCTTAACAAGCTATGATGATGATGTCGAGTTTGCATATGGTTTCATAACGCCTCCTGGAGGAACTGCAAGCATGAATTATAGATAAGTTCCTGAATATAAGATAACGCGGATACTGACCGCAAGTACTAGCAAAACTTATGATGCTTTGAAACACTCAAAAGTCTGCAGCTTACAATTAATTAAAAGCTCTTCAAATATGCTGTTGGGAGGAGGCAGACTGGCAAGTGGTGAGCCCTACAGAGAAAAGGAACTTCAAATTGTAGTTTTTTTAATTTGAAACTAAGTGCTAAAGTCATTATCCTCTTAAGATGCAAAAAGGTATCACTCGTTATGAAATGGTTATTTGATTTGAAGTAAAGGGGTGTAAATTATATCAAATGTAGTGGTTTTGAAAATATTTGTGTTTGGCCTGAAGTAAAAAGCTATATCAAATGCAGACTAAAAGTTTTGAAGTATTTGGAATTCACCCACTTGCTCATTTTTGGTGCATTTTGAAATTGTTAGATTTGGCGGATTTCCAAATATATGTAAATTCTTTGCCATTGCCGCCGGAAGTAGTTGCCTCCACCTAGGGGTGTCAAAATGGGTTTTCAGGTCACAAAATTTCTTATTTTTTTTATAGTTTCGTGCACATTTTTGATTCCACCACCAATTATTTTTACTATTAGTAGCTTTTCCCTTTGATACTTCAAACACATATTTTGCAACATTCTTAATAGCCCTATCTACTTTTTCCCACATAATATTAGCTTCCTCATGCATAGAAAAAATTTTAAGATCTATAATCTCACTCTCAAGAATATTTTTGTTAATGTTCTTTAAATGCCCAATCTAATTCTACAACAATATTTTACTCCTTTTTCTAGAAACTTACTCCTTTTTCTTTTTATTTGATCAACATTATTCATATATTTCAAATGAAAAGTTTATAGTGCTTTGTTTTCTTTTTATAATAGAAGCCATGCACATATGATTGGCTTCTCCTCTAAACCAAGCACATATACTGCATTTAATATGAACAATTAATAATATTCTTTTCATCTCTTTGCTTATACTTTACTAACTAGTTTGGATTTAGATTCTTTTTCCCAGCTCTCGGAGGACTGCTTTATGGCTATGATATTGGTGCTACATCTGGTGCTACAATTTCTTTGGAGGTATGCCAATGAATTTTCTATATTAGCCTAGTTAAAGGAACTTATTTTATATAGTAATTATTGGGTTTTTCATTCTATCCTGACACTATTTTTTTGTAATTTTATTTCTTCAGAGTAGAAATTATGGAACAAACTTATCATTGTTTATGTTTTCATATTACACAAAGCTCTAAATTTATGTCTCATTCTAAATTTTGCATGCATTAAGTATATCTCTAGGATTTTATTGAATATAGTACTTGTACATTTGTTGACATTACTTTGCTGACTTGATTCAATTATGATAATTATATTGTCATGATTTAGCCTGAGAGCTTGGAATAAACTGAGACAGGAGCAGACAATCGTGATGGAAGGGGTTGAATTGCCCATGTGTGCCCGATTAACAGTAAAGTTAACAATTGCATGTGGATAATTCATGAATATATAATAGCAATTCATAATAATGCATAATCATCTAAAGACATAATCCAAAATAGAAAAGTGCTATGACAATTTAATCTTTTTTTTTTTTCACGATAATTTCAAGGTACATGTAACGTGGTAGCAAATGTCTGCTGACATGTAATTTCAAGCATATCAAGCTCTTTTTCAATGATAGAAAAGTGCTATGAAAGTTTTTATTAGCAAATGAACATCATCACCATAACCATAAACCTCATATTTACGTTAATCTACTAGACCACAAAATAATACATATGAACCAAAAGTATCGTGAACTCACACTATCCAGTAATCATGTGTGCACTTATACCTAACAGAAGGTGCTCCTCAAGAGCTATACATAAAATTCTCTCTATTGCTCATCTGCTTCATATGCGCATTTCTTGAAAAATAATCTTCAATTAATGGGAGTGGGTTATATGTATATTATTTTGTAGGCACATCATAATTCTAAATAATAGTAAGCATAGTAGGAAAAGTAATAACATGCATTCTAATAATTGAATACAACAACAGCATAGCAGATATATGCATAACATGGTATTTGCCATCACAATTAGTTTCATGGTATAGACCGTAAAGTGATCATTGCAATTCTCATAACATTTGTTGTCATAAACATGATCATAGACTTTGAATATGATCATCATTATCATGGATGATAGCCTACAATGATCACATAACTTTTAAATTACTAGGTTACAATTACCCATTCCATTTTGGGAGCTTTAGTAATAGTGATGAGGACATCGTCAGCGATTTCGACACGTGTACCATCGGAGACACCAGAGATCGACGGCCACGATCAGGAGTTTTAATTTTAGTCATGTTATGTAGTAGTTTATTTTATTTTTCAATTTTCCGTTTTTACCCTTATGGGTATTTGGTCGCTATTGTAGCCCAAGGGGCATTTTAGTCTATTGTTTCCTTTGTCATTTTAGGCCTATATATATGGTCATTTCTTATGTAATGGGTTAATGAAGATTTGAATGAAAAATTTGTGTGTTTCTACTTCTTCTTCTTGCATGAGAGCTTGAGAAGGGAGAGAGCTCAAGGGGAGCAAATCGCAAGGCCCACCAGTCGTTGGAAGAGTCCGCGGCTCGTGGTTAGGTTTTCTATCTTCTCCTTCGTATTCACCTCCATCTTCTTTC